AAAAACTTTAATGATTTCACATATATTTCATCTTTTGATATAAGTATGAAAACATTCAAATAGTATTAATATTTTCTTTTACTTTATTTAATTAACAAATATTTCATATATTATTCATGTAAACTATTACTGATGTGTATATTGTCATAATATATGCACCTAGCCACCTGGCTGGCCAGTAACCCCACAGATCTACTTGCCTGCTTCCCCAGGTTGGGACTGTAAGTATGTATGACAAGATTTTGGCCCTTTTGCTTTTTCAGTTGTTCTAGGAATCACACCTGGTGCTTACTCTTGCAAGACAAGTCCTATACTAACAGATCTATCTCCCCATCCCTGTTATTATTGATTGACCCATAGTTTCAGTTTCTGCACAAGTTGTACCTGATATATTTTATTTATTTTATCTAAAATACCTTATTTTTCTACTTTTTAAATTGAAAACATATTTTCTCCAATGCAATGCATACTGACCACAGTTTCCTTCACCTCCCTCCATTCCTCCAAGTTCCCTCATATACTTTGCATCTTCCTAAGATCCACTTCCATTCCCTTTTAGGATACAGCAACTTCCAAAAGACAACGATCAAACAGGACAAAACAAAATTCAATAAGAAAGGCAAATCATCATATGGAGGCTGGACAAGGTAAACCAATGGGAGAAAAAGGGTCCTAAGAATAGGCAAAAGAGTCAGAGAGTGGTCGGCTAGCAGGGTCCTGTAGAGATCCCTAAACAGCCCAGGCTGATGCTCAAACAGAGGGTCACTCTTAGAAAACTGACACTGGGGCTCTGTTAAGGAGGACTACATGTACACAGTTCATTGAACATGGAAAGGTAGGCTGTGCCTGCATGGAGCCTTCACTCCTATGCTCTAGATTTTTGACAAAAGAAGGCACTCCTAAGGCTACAAAAAGACAAACCTGGACACCAACCCAGTCACAAAATCCTCCACCTATGTTCTGTTCTATCCTCCCTACAAGTTGTGCTGGGGCAATGGTAGCTCAGAACATATAGGAGTGGCCAACCAATGTCTTATTGAACTTGAGGCCCAAGCCACAAGAGAGACTCCATGCTCTATTTTGCCTGGATGGCCAGGAACTTGAGAGTGGACAGTTCAGAGAAGTAGTAGAGTAGAACAAAATAACACCACCGGATATATGGATATATATTCTGCTATGCCGATACAGAGAGGCAGGGTCCAGTCGTCATCAGAGAGACTTCTTCAGGCATTATATGGGAGCAGATGGAGAGAATCACAGCCAGACATTATGAAGAGAAAGATTCTAAATTGGAGGTCTGTGATGATACATTGTTTATGATCTAATAAAGCTTGCCTGAATATCAGAATGTAAAAGCAGCCAGAACCATAGAGGACAGGCAGTAGTGGTACACACCTTTGATCCCAGCAGTCACACTAGTTAACCAAAGAAGCTGAGTGGTTGTCTTGCACACCTTTATTCCCAGCACTAGAGAGGTATGAAAAGAAGGAGCAGGGTCTCAGAGCTGATAATTAGTCTCCAGCAACATTGAGGACAGGATCGCCCAAGCCTTGGTAAAGGTAAGAACTCTTTGGTAGCTCAGATGCTTTGCTTTTCTGATATTCAGATTGAACACCAATATCTGTCTCTGAGTTTTTTTCAATTCATACTACCTATTGGTGGCCAGTGTGGGTCTATATTATTCATGCTACAGAGGTCTACATCAGTTTCTTCCCTGGGGCATTAGAGAATGCAGCAAATGAGGGGAAGAAAAGATATATAGAAATCAGAGAGGATGGAAGACAATAGGAGAACATGGCCCAGTGACTCAACTAATCATGGCTCACATAGATACACGGATATTGAAGAGACAAACATAGGGCATATACTGGTCTTCACCAAGTCCTCTGCATATATGTTAACTATTAGCTTGGTAGTTTTGTAGGACTCCTAAAGTAACATATTTTTAACATATAATTGTGGTGATATAATATTTATGATTTATTAAAGCTTGCCTTAGGATTCAGAAAGCAGTCAACCATAAATTACAGAGGTCAGGCAGTGGTGATACACTCCTTTAATCCCAGCATCCATAGAGATAGGAGGTGGTGGTACACAGCTTTAATCCCAGGGATTAGGATTAAGATGAAGATAGATCTCTGTTAATTCACGACCACACTGACTACACGATTTGTGCTAGTCCTAAAAGAATCAGATCACACAGATCACATTCTTTTAATCCCGGCACTAGAGAGGTAGAGACAGCAGTGATATGGCTGGGTGGAGAAAGAAATAAAAGGCTGGAGGAGACAGGAATTGAGAGTTTTTGCTTCTGAAAATTCCTGGAGACAGGCTTGCCACTTCAGCTGACTACAGGCACATGACTACTGTTTTGGCTGCTTGCTTCTCTGGCCTTCAGCTGGAAGCTTGAACCCCAATATCTGTCTCTGGGTCCTTTTATTTTTCATGTTAGATACAATAATTTATGAAAGTATTAAGAATCTTTGCAGTGCTTTGGCATCAGTGCGATGTATTCTAATTCATTTCTGATTTTCTTTTTCACTTTTATTCATAGTTAAAACTTGGTTTTTGTAAATACCCTGTTTTTTTAATTTTTGTTTTTGGTTTGTTTGAGAATTTCCTATATTCCCACTCTATCTCTATGACTTTCCACTCCCTGTTTCTCCTCCTACCCTTCCTATGCCCCCTGATCAAATTCATGAGCTGTTTTTAATATACATATGTATGTGTGTGCATGCGCACATGCGTGCACACGTGTGCATGCATGCTACCTGCTGAAAACTATCGTGTGAATTTTCTACAACAGAAAACAAAACAAGTTTCCTCACTCATTGCATTGCCCTTGGCTTTTTGTTCATTGCTGCTCATGTGGGGCTTTCTTCATTTTTCTTTGTCCAGTGTGTTATGCCATACCTGACTTTTCCAACTAGATGGAGATATGTTCAGTATTTTAGGCTTTAGCCTTACCTGTCAGCACTGATTTTACCTAATTCTATGACTGCACTGTTTTGGGATCCTTGTTTATTTTTAAGATTTTTCTTAAATCTGTTATGTTTTGTTTAATCTATTGTTGTTTATCAGTATGTTGTTGTGCCACCTCACAATTGTCTATTTAAATTATAGTATTTCTATGTACTTTGTTGCATTGCATTTTGATGCTCAGTACTGAACTCAGAACTTGAGGTAAGCTGTATAATCATGCCTATCACTAAACTGCTCTGTTCAAGTTAGAAATCCACCAAAGAATTAAACCCTAAAAGGACCATTCCAGTCTTACATCCTTGTCCTTGTCACTTTGTGGGAGCTTCTTTCTCGGCCCTATTTGTGGAGACATGCCTAATATTTAAGGTGTGACCAACAGTTTTTCACATAATCATTCTTTTGACCTCTGGCCACTCTTTCATAAGCTGGCATTTGCTGTGGTCCCTCCCATGCAGAAGGAAGTATAGCCTGTCTTTTAGGTATGGGCATCTCTGTCACAGCATGATGCCTGAGGGATGTTGGGTGACTGGCCTATTTCCAAGTAACACCATCTACATAAGATAAGGTAGTACCTCTTTATGTGGAAATACAGACTGACTGAATGGGGACTAGCAGTGATGAGGAGTTGATCCATCATGTCCATTCTGCGGTCATTCTGAGATGGTCAAGTTCAGAGCCTAGTCGGGGTTGGCACTTGGTGTTCATTCCTAACTCAGGTCCTCAACAGCCTTGGGGTGGGTAGAGTGTTTCCAGGCTTGACACCTAAAACTTTAACTGAGGACATGGTGTCTATTAGGCAATTATCTGGACAACATTGCCAAGTCTTTGAAGAACTGCTAATGGCATATGTGTCCCTACTCTCAGGGATCCCCTGGGTCAGTTGGGAGCAGTGCAGCTGAGCAACCAAACATGATAATCACATTTTGGGGAGTACATATGGCAGAGTTTCTGGCTAAGAGATGTCTGTTTCTTTACAATGTTGGAACAACACCATTTTTAAGTCCTATGTAGCTTTTTTTTAATTAGACGTGGTATCTTGTGTGCAAATTCTAAACTAATCCACAATGTAGGTAGGAAACATGTCAGCTTGAAAAGTCCCAACACCCTCTGCTGTGTTGGATGTGAGTTCACTTCTGGATGTTCAAATGGGCAGAACCCCTGTTTTGTGTCAGCATGGAGCCTTGGCTTCCTGCTTGGGATTATTCTGAAAATACTGCAGACAGTCTTTCCAAGTTTGCTGGGTGAGTGTTGGCAACCTTAGGAGTGTCAAATATTTTTGTAACAATTCTTGTAGGAATTTTCTCCCCAGGTGCATTGCTTCGTGGGCTTGTAGGGTAGGCTGTGAGCTGTTGTCTCTGGAATTAATAGTTTCCTATCCATGGTGGTTAATCAGTATTTCAAATTTTTAGTAGCTCCCTCACAAGTGGCTTTTTTCTCTGGCTTATATGAGGGAGCTCAGGGAACAGCAGGAGTATAAACATACCTTCTGGGTGGTAATGGGTGGGGACTGAGGTTCTTTGTTTTGTGAACTCCTTCTTGGCTCTTCCTGTGAGTCTGGCACTGCCACTGCCCTTGGATCCCAGATAGCTTCTCGGAGCTGTAAGATTGGTTCTCTGTTTTTAATTTATTTGTCCACAGTAGGCAGTCCTCTTTCTCAATATATTACAGCTTTGAGACTCTTGGTGTGAGGTGTTATTACCCCTATCCTAGGCTTTGGCTCCCATCAGTAAAACTTTTTATATGTGAATTGAGGAATATCCAGCACTGAGGAGAAAAATATCTTCTATAATTTCCCAGCAAATATGGTGGGGCTCTCTTTCCTATTAAGGAAAGTACATGCCTGGACATATAGCTGCCATCTTTTTTAAAGAGGGTAGTACCGGCATTTTCCTTAGTGGAGCCTCTTGCCTGGACTGTTTGACTGCATACTGTATAGGGTGGACATGCAGGACTCACAGGAAAATGACTACTAAAACAAGATTTTTCTGTCCTGCAGGGTTCCTGTTTCATGGAGCAGTCTGCTAGACACAGAGAAAAATGACTGATAAATTGTCAATACAGGTGGGACAGTATGAAATTTCCTGCTTTGCTGAGAAGTCTGTTAGACATTCTAGGCATATGGGCTGAAGATGGATGCTCCAAAATTACAGAGGAACACTTCCTAACTGTCCAGGCAATGAGATTTCTCTGTCAATTCTAGAGTTTATCTATTATCCTTCTGAGGTCTTTGATAGAGTTGAAGACAGATATTCATGGCTGTGGTTTTCCTTAGTTATAGTAAAAGATAAGCTACATATAAGACTTTAGATTCACAAAGATAGCATGGATGATAGAATATTTTCTTTAAATCTTGCTAAATGTTAGTGTACTAAATATTATAGGTATAGCTCTTAATTGATAACTGTTTTGTTATATACAATTTTACTACGGTAAAGCTAAAACTTTTCTTTTTGCTTAGACAGAAAAGAGGAGATGATGGGGATGTCTTCTGTACATATGTTTCTCTTATTGATTGATTAATAAAACACTGTGGCCAATAAGGCAGGCAGATAGGCAGGTTTAGGAGATGTGAAGGATTCTGGGAAGTGTAGGCAGAGAGGAGTCACCATGTGATCCCAGGAAGAGATGATGCAAGTCAGGCATTATCCAGTAAGATAAGACCATGTAGAAATACATAGATTGGTACGTATGGGTTAATAATTAAGACAGAGCTAGTCAATAAGAAGCCCTAGACTTTGGCCAACAGTATTATAATTAAAACAAATCTTTGTATGTTTATTTGGGGTTCAAGGGCAGAAGGATCCAGCCAGGACAAAGAAAGCATATGGTTACAGGGCCTAATGGAATGGCCTCATTGCTGTAACACAGCTGGCCTAAGTCTGGTGGGTGAACGTTGAATCAGAGCAGAAAGCATTGGAAGGAAGGGGTCTGATGACCTTAAGCCCTCAGAGCCTTAATGTGCTGGCAATTAGAGCTGATAGGCAGACAGTATCATGAGCAAAATGTTATCTTTCAAGAAAGTTAATGGGAGTGCTTGCTTGGTGTCTTCAGGTTTAACAGACATTACAGGACTGTGTGGGTCTCACATTGAGAACTGCAACCTCTCTGAACCAACTTGGGCCAGTGGTGAAGGCAATTTCACTGAGGGCCTCCACAACCATTGGAAGAATCATTCCAGAATAGCACAGCTTGAATGAGTAAGGACCACACTGAGTTGGTGCAATGGAGGAGCTGAGGCCACCAACGTGGGCCTGCATTCCAGCCCACACAAGACATAAAGGAGCCTTAGTGTGCTTGATTTCCTGGTAACTGGGTCTCTAGAGGTGTCTTATTGAATGAATCTTCTAGGGTAAGCCTGACTGTCATATTGCTATAGTATGTAGCTATAGGTTTTGACTGGAATGAGAAGTAATGGGAACTAGAATTGACACTGAGAGATCTGAAATGATTGTTGTTGGGTATCTGCTTGAAACCTGTTGTCTATGATACCACCCTGGCTCCGAGGAAAGCCCAAATTTGTGGACTGAATCCCATCATGGATGTGAAATTTGGATCCCCAGAAAGTAGCCTAGCACAGAGACCACATAAAGAATAGTAAAAAGATAAGTTCATAGTACCTCCATGGCATCAAGTCAGGAATGGAGATTAAGTGCATGGTTACTATATCAGTGTTTTGACCTACAGGGGCAGACTTAGTGTTGGGGGTTCATCAAGGGTACCTCTCTTTGCTTTATGTTCACTAGATTCTTCATAGGGTAATGAAGAAAAGAAAAAAATCTTACTTCTTGAAAGCTTCCATGCATATTTCCTGTTTCTTTTTGGTGTGTGTGTGTGTGTGTGTGTGTGTGTGTGTGTGTGTGTGTGTGTGTGTTTGGGGGGTAGTATCCTAATTTCCTTTGATCTAGAGAATAATTTTAGCTTCTATTTGTATGCTGAGTAGAAGTAAAAGCAAGTTTTATTGTGAAGGTTTTCTGGTGTCCACATTAAGCAGTGAATTTAATTAGCAGTGTAACACTTAAAAAACTGGTTCTTTTTCACTTAAAATTTCCAACAATATTATGGAATAAGGAGAATATTAATTAGAAACTGAATTCTTTGGTTGTGTGTACTGGGGAGTAGAGTCACAAAAACTTTCAGCTCATTACTGGGTTAAATCAATACCACCATTTATTTTAATATTTTTATTTGAAAGCCTGGACAAAATGACAATGAAGCATTAATATACAATGAAAGGAATCAGGCTGAATGAAAGCTATTACTAAATGTTCTCTCAGGCATACAAGGTGTGAAATGATTATGCTGAGCTCAAGGACAGCTTTCAAATTTGATTGCATGTTTTCTGCATTTAATTTACATTTTTTAGCCACAGTCTCAGATCTCTAATAGTATGTGTATATACATTATACACTGAATCTTTGTGTGACTTTAGATGTCCTGGAACTAACTCTGAAGACTAGACTGACTTCAAACTCATGAGGAGAGCCTGCCTCTGCCTCCTAGGAGTGTTACCACTGACGTTTTATTTTTTTCTCCTTTTTAAAATTTAAATTAAACACAAGCTTGTTTTACATATCAATCCTAGTTCCTTCTCCTTCCCTTCCTACCCTGTCAAGCACCATCCCCATCCCATCCCCTTTTTGCTCCCCAGGAAGGGTGAGACCCTCCATAGGGAGTCTTCAAAGTCTGTCATGTCATTTGGAGCAGGGCCTAGGCCCTCCCCTGTGTGTCTAGTCTGAGAGTGTATCCCTCCATGTGGCATGGGCTACCAAAGTTCATTCGTATACTAGGGATAAATACTGATCCACTTCCAGAGGCCCCACAGACTGCACAGGCCTCCTAACTGACACCCTTGTTCAGGGGGTCTGGATCAGTCCTATGCAGGTTTCCCAGCTATCAGTTTGGGGTCCATGAGCTCCCCATTTGCTCAGGTCAGCTATTTCTGTGGGTTTCTCCAGCCTGTCTAGACCCCTTTGCTCATTGCTTCTCCCTCTCTGCAACTGGATCCAGGATTTCAGTTCAGTGTTTAGCTGTGGGTGTCTGCTTCTGCTTCCATCAGCTACTTGATGAAGGCTCTAGCATGGCCTATAAGGTAGTCATCAATCTCATAATCAGGGAAGGACATTTAAGGTAGCCTCTCCACAATTGCTTAGCTTGTTAGTTGGGGTCATTCTTGTAGATCTCTGGACATTGCCCTAGTGCCAGATTTTTCTTTAAACCTATGATGGCTCCCTCTAATATAGCATCTATTGTCTTGCTCTGCTCTGTTCTTCCCCTGACTCCATATGATCTTCCTGCTCTCTCCTGTCCTCCTCTTCTCCCCTTCTCTTTCTCCTAACTCCCTTTCCCATCCTCCCATGATCACAATTAGCTCAGAAGATTTTGTCCTTTTCCCCTTCTCTAGGAAACCATGTTTGTCTTTCTTAAGGTCCTCCTTGTTTTGTAACGTCTCTGGCAGTGTGCATTGTAGGCTGGTGATCCTTTGCTTTATATCTAATATCCATATATGAGTGAGTACATGCCATGTTTGTCTTTCTGTGACTGGGGTTACCCCACCCAAGTTGGTTTCTTCTAGTTTCATCCATTTGTCTGCGAATTTCAAAATTCTATTTTTTTCCCACTGAGTAGTACTGTGTAAATGTACCACATTTTCTCTATCCACTCTTTAGTTGAGAGACATGTACGTTGCTTATAGGTTCTGGCTATTACAAATAATGCTGCTATGAACATAGTGGAACAGATGTCCTTGTTGTATGAATGTGCAACTTTTGGGTATATGCCTAAGAGGGGAATTACTGGATCTTGTGTTAGACTGATTCCCATTTTCCTGAGGAGCCACCATATTGATTTCTACAGTGGTTGTATGGGTTTGCATCCTTGCCTGAGGTTTTAATCACAACAGTTTTAGAAATTGTATTGTTTTGAACACTTTCTTTTCTGGCTAAGTCTTTGTATTTAATTTTGAACTGATCCATTTAGACATTAGTCATATTTCTGGGGTATTTTATAGCTAATATAAACTCCCATAGTTACAATTAGAAAGACAATGTGTGTTGATTTTGTTTGAGCATAATTTCTTAAAAATACTATTAGCAAGTCTGAAATCCATTAAAAATCCTAAAATTGGACCTGTTATGTAGACAGAATCTATATGCATGTTTATGAAACCTAAGGATGCTACAATCTGAAGGTCTAATGCTACTGAAGGCCTTTTTCATCATTACGTGAGTGTGTGTGTGTGTTGTGTATTTCTTAAAATACATTTAATGTTTACCACAACAAAGCATAAATAACATAAAGAATCAAATCACAATTGCATAGTCTTGTAAATATTTCATGTAAGAAGGAAATACAAGCCTGAGACACGAGTTTCTGTAATGACTCTCACATGGCTATTTCACAGGCTTTTATTGGACAGTGCTTGTTAGTCAGTCCCATGTCACTCACAGCAGGGAGATTCCTGTCATCCCAGTGAAGCTGGAACTTAATGCGTTAACATTCTCTCTTAAAGCTTAACCTCATGGCGATGCCTCTGCCTAGCAGCTGTCGCCACCAGCCTACAGTGCCCGTCTGCCACCTCCCACTCTGCCTTCCGCTCACTGTCACCACTAAAGCAAGTATGTTTGCCATGCAGCTTCCGTCACAGCTTCTCCCCAGAGCTTAGTAGTCAAAAAAATATTTGGATTTTAGAAAGAACACAATCATGAGCAGCTGTTCCCCAGATGAACTTAGAAATATGTCATAGACTGAAGTTTCACAAGGCTATAGAATGTTCAGATCATCAGAACTGTCCCTGAGTTACCAATCATCAAATCTGCTCCCCACATCTCCAGACGTTCATGCCTCTTTATTCATTTTATTTTCTGGGAAACAGTTAGGATTTAAAACATTAAATGTTATAAGTAGCAAAAGCCACTCATCTGGGCTTTTAAATCGTTCCCTAACTTTTCATAAACAATGCATGAAAAATGCACACAGAACTACAGCTTTCTGAGCTTTTCACCAATTGAAAGTACGGACAGAACTGGAACCCATAGTCACGCTGGACTCTCACTCAACACAAT